TGGAATTTGAAGCACAAATAAATCAGGCATTGTTTTATTGAATGGCAGAGCAGGCTTGAGAGACTGAATGGCCAACTTCTACTCTTACGTACATAGCAGGAACTGTTGAAGTTTAAAACTTAGTTAACGTAGTCACGTCAGACTGAGGATGGTGTAGGTAGGGTGGTGACTAAAACAGTCCATTCCCATTCCTCCATTCAAAGAGCATTACTTTTCATTGTGATGGATGATGCTATGCAATTTAACCAAGAGACTATTATGAGGTTGAAATAAATATGATAAATTTAAATTTATAGAGATCTTTGTTTTATATATAGAGGTTTATTGAACAGAGAAGGCTGGGAGTTTTCATCAAACCAGTGTGATTTAGAAATGTCTTTCCAACTGAAATTAGGGAAAATCCTGAAATCTGTTGGGACAAAGGGCCTGTTTCCACACTGTAGGGATTCTAAATGCCATTCTAAATGAACTATAGGGAGAGGCTGAATAGGCTGGGGCTATTTTCTGTGGAGCATCAACAGCTGAGGGCTGATCTTTTAGATGTTTATAAAATCATGAGGGGCATGGATAGGTTAAATAGACAAGGTCTTTTCCCCAGAGTGCGGAGAAATACAAAAGGGACCCAAGGGGCAACCTTTTCACGCAAAGGGTGGTGCATATATGGAGTGAGCTGCTAGAGGAAGTGGTAGAAGCTGGTTCAATTACAACATTCAAAAGGCCTCTGGATGGGTTTATGAATAAGGGTTAGAGGGATATGGGCCAAATGCTGGCAAATGGGACTAGATTTATACAGGACATCTGGTCAGCATGGACGAGTTGGACCGAAGGATCTGTTTCCATGCTGTAAATCTCTATGACTCTATAACTCTGTTTTACTCTTACTCTCTACGGATGCTGCCAGACCTGCTGAGTTTTTGCTAAGTGTGATCTGCACTTTGTTTTTGTTTCAAATTCCTATCTTCTGCAGTTCTTTTTTATTTATCCACCTAATTCAATACTCTGTAATGAAAACTATTGCCTTGTGTTTTGTAATAAATTAGAGGATTAACCAAAATATCCGTTGTACATTTCCACTATTCTCATGTCTGGTGAAAGCATTCAGTAAACAGCTTTAAAACTACAGCTGTGAAAATACTTATGTAGATATCCTTTTGCAGGACAAAAGCTGAAATAACCAGAACAGCCACTGAGAATGTGTGTGATGGCAAAAATGTGATCCTAGGACCATCTGTCTATAACAGCAAACGAAGCAGTGAAAATGTTTCGAGTAAACATTACTGGTTAGATACCTTGTCAGATGGCACAGAATTCTAACAAAGATAATTTATCTGAGCTTCAAGAAGGTAGTCAACTCAGTATTAAAACTTTGCAGTGGTTAAGCCAAGTGCTGTCTTGTCTCAGGAAACAGATTCATTCTCCTTGTTGATGAAACATGACTGCAAATAATGCTAAAAGGGACAGGGGAAGGAAGGAAATCAGAAGACTGATTGACCAGATTTAGCCATCCCATGCCAAAGTTTAAGCCGTGCAGTATATTTCCTCTTTACACTTGTGTGTTACCAATGAGTCATTTGCACACCAGTGCAATTTGCCATAAAAGGTGCTGGACACGATATCTCTTACAAAATAATCAAGACGACGAATGGCTTGTATCAAAGATATGAATCAGTAGGGACAGGGAAGCAAAATAAATTAAATTGTTAATTAAAATTTTCATGCTAGCATTGAAAGGTTGCTGAAATACACCACTGTATTTTCAACTTAAGTACCATGTACCAAATTGATGCAGGATTAAGAAATATTCATGGTGATCAAACTTTGTGCTGGATAGCTTCTTGATTTCACAATACCATACTTACTCTCACCAGTACCAAAGACCAACATATTGTGAAAAAATAGTCAAAATAAAATAAAGAGCACACCATTCCTTGTATATTATCAGCATGTGCGTACATTTAATCCCCGTGCACTAGCAGCATGTAACTATGTTTGTTATAGGTGCATGCCAATAATTGTTCCATTACCTTCCTCTGCAGAAGTTAAAGTTAAATGCAGACGTTTCTGTTTTACGGATGTTCCTTGTATCAACAGGAGTCTGCGTCCCTCCTCAGCTCCTGCCCCAGCCATCATTTCATCTCTTTGACCTTCCTCCAGCGCCTTCTCTAGCTGCTGCTCACTCTCATTGCAAGCTATCTGTGGGCAGTGAACACAAAATAACACATTACTGTAAAACATTCATTACACAAACAGTGGCAAATTGCAATTCAATGCGCGATTATTCAGTCACTGTCAATCGCAAGGTCCCTAATTCAACTTAAAGGGTGACAGCTCGTTTTCAGTTAAAAGGTTTCCATTCCTTGAAATTGAAAGGAAAAACTAAGCACTTAACTCAAATTGGCACTTACCTGCACAAATCACAATCTCGTAATTTATATCGACAATAAGCTGCTTCATTTGACAACTGTTCTGCAACCCTGAAGTGAATGATGAACCTGGCACATCTTTGTACTCATCACTAAAACTGGTATTGTGGTGCTTTAAACAAGGCAAAGCCCCAGGTACTTATAGAATCTCTACAGTATGTAAACAGGCCCTTCAGCCCAACAAGTCCACACTGACCCTCAGAGCATCTCACCCAGACCCATCCCCCTACAACCCACCTAATCTGCACATCCCTGAACATTACGGGCAATTTAGCAAAGCCAATCCACCTAGTCTGCACATCTTTGGACTGTGGGATGAAACTGGAGCACCCAGAGGAAACCCATGCAGGCATGGAGAGAATGTACAAACTCCACACAGACAGTTGCCCAAGGGTGGAATCAAACCCAGGCCCTTGTGCTGTGAGGCAGTAGTGCTAACCACTGAGCCACCATGCCACCCATGTAAGCATAAACTTTTAACACATTGAACTAAATCTAACATTCCGTGAATTTTGAACACTGACTATAAAGCCAATCGAAAGAATGGATATTCTTAACCCTTTACCACAATTCTCAGGTGTCTACTGCTGATAATTCAAAGACATTTTATTGCACCAAAATGTTTTGAATCAACCAACTCAATTTAAGCTCAGTCTGTTGTTCCGTTCCAGTGAAGTTTGACGCAAGCTACAGGAACAGCACCATATCACTCAATTACAGCCTCTGGACTCAGCATTGAGTTCGAATACTTCTGACAATAACATTTGCCTTCAGTCAGAGCACACCTGCTCCAGGCACACCTTTTGTTTCTTTGTTTCTTTTTGTGCCCCGTCTCCATTTCTTTTGACCCTGGAGGGTTAACTTATCTGTCAATCTCTCCTGTCTTCCACTTGATCACAGACCTGCTTTTTATCCTTGGCCCAACTACCCTGTGCTCAAAACTTCAATGACACTGCTAACCATCCGTCATCAACTGAAATGCCAATTCTTTCTCTCTCCACCAATGCTGCCAGACCTGCTGATTTCTCCAGCACTTTCTGTTCTTGCTTTGAATTTACAGCATTCTCAGTATTCAAATTGAACAACATAAGTAACAAAGCACAAGCAGATTTTCGTCGCTTGCATTATATATTAAATTAAAACATCTATGAAATAGCAGATGTGGATTATCCATAAAATTCTAGAGACTTCATGTCTGTCAGCTTAAGGAGACTTCATTCAGGCTTAGAGGTAATACCTGAATTATAACAGTAGCCTCTGCATCAACTACTATTCATGTAGTATGAATGTAATAGTGTAATTGTAATTCAGACTGAATTCAGTTCTCGTGATACCAGTGGCCCAGGTCCACCCAACATTTTGTCAAAAAAGAACTTACATAAAAATAACATTCCCTCCAACTTATTACAAACATCTTGACAGGCTCACTCATTTCACAAGATCAAAATGAATTTTTTTTTTTTTTTTTTTTTTAAAAAGTGCTGTAATTCAGTACAAACACTTACATTATAACCAATAATTATAGCTTGTTTCACAAGTCAATTGACAGTTTGGTGAAGAAATTGCCCTGCATCTCAGTCCTAAAGGTATTGCCCCTTATTATGATAACCGCATCCACAAAGCCTGGACTGGAATTAAAGACTGGCAGCTAAATTGGTTATTGAGCAACATAAAGGCCTTTAGAGACAGTTCAATTGTGAAGATATTCCCATGATGGGCAAAGGATGAGCATTCAAAGCTACAGCTCCCTGAATGAATAGAGATATGGAGATTAAATTGAAACAGAAGATGATTTATGTTAAATATTGAGTTCCTAATTCATAATTAAGCCAAATACAAGTAGTACAGGGTTAATCGAAACAGGAATTAACAGGAGGAGACAGGGTACAAGAATACCTCACAGGCAACATAAAAAGGAACACAAAAATGTTTTTTGAACATCGAAATATTAAAATGTAGTCAAAGATCCAATTAGATACCAAAAAGGAGAAATCTTACCAAGGATAAAGGCATGAGTAAGTTACTAAATGAGTACTTTACACTGACCAGAGGTCAGCAAGTCAGGCAGCATCTCAAGAGAGGTAATGTTTCAGGTTGAGATAACCTTTCATCAGTTGGAGAAACTTACTAGAATGGGTACGAGGGAGAGCAGACTTCAGTCAAGTGGCATGACCAGAGAAACACCTTGAAACAGATAAAGTTCAAGGTAGATTTGATGGAGGTGTTTGAAATCGTAAAGAGTTTTGATACAGGGTCAGTAACCAGAGGCACAGATTCATACAAAAGCTCCAAAGATGACACGAAGAAAACTAAATTTACTTGAAAGGGTGCCAGAAACATGTTCATTATTAAATTGCACAAAGGAACTAGATAAATTCCTTAAGTGGAAACCTTTGCAGGCAATGGGGAAGGAGAAGTAGGGTACAAATAACTGAATTACTGGTACAGGCATGGTGAGTCACACGTCACATGGTGTCTTTTTTGTGCTTTGTCTATGGTTCCATAAAACCTCCCAGTGAAGTAGTTAAAATTTCTACTTGCTCAAGCTCAACCTGCTAGAACTGCTAAGAACAAGTATGGTGAACATGTGGCTCACAGATCCCAATCTCTGAAAGTATCTTGTCCAATCACTGTTACTCTTTTCGCACACTCTCTATTTCTCCCTCTCTCCCCAGCCCTGCTGCCTAACATTCAAACATGCTTTTCAGGAGAAAATTCGACAGTTACCTGAAGAGGAAAAATATGTTGAACTTTTGGGGAAATGGTTTAAGATTGGATTCAGGTGTATTTCTCTTGCACGGAACAGACAGAGACACAATCAGCCATATAGTCTTCTGCTGAACTGTAACCATTTTACAATACTAAAACCCTATGCCTCACTAGTTCATTCTCCACCTTACAATGCACTCCTTACAATGCACTTGTTGTACTTTTACACAATAAACATATGTAATACTTTTCCTAAGATAAAGAGATCAAACTTTACAAAATACTCCAAATGAAGTCTAACAAAATTCCTTTAGAATCTTTATTTTCTCCATTCATTGTAGGAGGTGGGCATCGCTGGTTGGGCCAGCATCTATTGCCCATTTCGAGTTCCCTTGTGAAGATGGTGGCAAGCTATCTTCTTGAACCACAGCAGTCCAGGTGGTGTAGGGAGACCGTTAGGGAGGCCGATCTGTTTATGTTCCGCATTCCACATTCCCAGCTATCCCTAATAGCTCAGAATGCCTTGCGTAACAAGAAACTGTTTACCAGTGCATTAAAAAAATTCAATGACTCACCTCTGCTGCTTTCTGAAGCAGTCCCAAAGTTATACAACCATCTGATAAAAATGCAGTTCCTCATGTCTGTCCTAAAATAACAATCCTCAATTTCAAAGCAGTTAGAACAGTCCCCCTCGTTTTAGACTCACCTACACAAGAAAACATTCTTTTCAAACTAACCTTGCCAAGACCATTCAGGATCTCATAGACTTCAATCAAATCATTTCTCACTCTTCTAAACTCAAGGTGGAAACATTTCCAGCGTCTCCAATCTTGCCTCCTAAGGAAAACCGCACATTCAGGAATCAGTCTAGTGAAGCTATCCCCATCACCTACAGTGGCAGGAGATAATTAGGGCCACAGATTATTTGAATTCCATATGTGGCAGCCAGCTGCATGCAACAGGAAAATACAGCACTTACCCACATGTATCTTCAGCATTACATTTGTCACGTATTTAGAACATATATAATCAGAGTAGAACCAGCCCAAATAAATACTTCCACCAAAAGCGAATTATTTAATCTGTTGCTTGGGCAATGTAAAAAAGGTACATTGTGAGGTGGAGAGGGAATTAGTGAGGTGAAAGGGTATTAGAATTATAAAATAGTCACAGTACAAGACAAATTCACCAAGACCCACTCTTGCACATTTCCCCTAGAAGTCCAGTAAATATTTCCTCTTTAACTATTGAATTCTCTCCTGAAAAGCATATTTGAACATTACAAGGCAGCGTCAGGATGGGGGGTGGACGTGTGAGAGACAGAGAGACGTTGGGGCTGATTGAAGAGGATAGTTTCAGACATTGGGATCTAGATGGCTAAAGGATCGGCTCCCAGTGAAGAGACAAAGGGAGGTAGCAATATAAAAGAGGGAAGGGTCAGGTGAAGCATGAAGAATTGCAGGAAGTTTCAGCATTACATGGATTACAGAAATTGGTATCTGCATAGCCATGAAAGAATTTAAACACAAGCACGAGAATTTTAAATTTGAAGCATTGTGAAACAGAGAACTGATGAAAGTCAGTGAGGACAGTGGTGAAAGTTTTATATAAAATGTTGAGGACTACATTGGAAGGAATGCAAGTCTGGATAAACTTTTGAGTTATGAACACGGTACAGGGCAGGTCAGGAAAGAATTGGAGCAATCAATTCAGAGGTGGCCAAGGCATGGATGACAATTTAAACAGCAGAGATGAGACTTAAGAAAATGAGAACAAATAGTTTTGGTTTTAAAAGGACACCAAGATTTCATCCTTAGAACTTCAAACAAAAAATAAACTCCTGATTACCTTTAGAGTTGGACCTTCCTCTTCATCGTTTGAAGAAGAGTCTTCTGCTTGCTGAGATACAAGGACAAACTCTTCACTGTTCAGTGTGGAAACAGAGTCTGACGAACTACTCAAGTTGCGCAAAGCTTGAACATCCATCTCTCAACCGGTACAACACATAGCAACAATCTGGAAAAAAGAGGTTTTAGATATGACAGGCTTTTCAAGTCTGTGTTTATTGCTGATTTTTAAAATTATACTTTTCTGGCTAAAAAGTAGAAAAATTGGAGAAAATCTTGTTTATGCTTTCAAATATCCTTAAACTACAAGATAGCAAATAGCAAGAATCTAACAAGAGACGGTTAATACTAAATGATGTCCCACTATTAATTACATAGTTCACAGACACCAGCTCTCCAAGCCTCAAACATCCGGGAAACATACATTGCCAGCAGTTGTTCAACTAATGACTTCAAATAATTACTGATCCACTTGGGACTGTTGGTGACATTACACAACAAGCGATGTTGCTCATACACAATATGATAATTACATTGAATGGGAAACTAGAAGCAGTTTCAATGCAGCTGCATGCCATCATACCAGAGAACACATGTCTAAATAGAAGAAGCAAGACTGAAAATACTCTTCAGACAGCTGATCAACAGTGTAGATTTATTCACTATCTGAGCTTTTGTTTTGAGAAATCACTTTGCCTCCTCTGAACATCGTTTCTGGAATCAGAAATGTACCATACAGGGGTGTCAACGAAAGAATGTGCTATATCAGCCTACCGCACAGATAAAACGACAATACACTGCCTTACAGGACTACTGGGAAAAGGTCCGTGAGTCTGTGCATTAACTCCCCCAATCCCAATGTAGGACCAACTCCTTTGTGTTTATTGCACAGGGCACAGATCCAAATTCCACCTTTCACCTGATGACGTCCTCAAATTAGTGAGTTTTCCACACACTGCCTCTGATATCAGCCACTCAACTGCCGCGCGAACAGAGCAAGCTGGGAACTAATTTGAAAGAAATGTGAATAATATGACCAAAAGAACATCTCACATTGCTTCCCTCACAGAATGCGGCTTTATTGTGTTCATGAGGCCTTTGCATGCATGCAAACAAAACTTAGCAGTAAATGGAGCAGAATAGTGACAAAATATGGGTAATTAATTTGTTGAAGAGGCACATAATATGTTAAAGGTGAGATGGTACATTTTGGTGGGCCAAACACCATACCCCTTGAAAACAGGTGTCTAAAAGGCTAAAAGAAACAAGGGGCCTAAGAATACATATACACAGAGCATTAAAATCAATGCCACAGGTTAATAAGTCACTTCAATAAAGGGGAAACAATGCACTGTTCATTCTTAGCAGGAGAGAACAAAAAAGCAAAGAAGCATGATTAAACTTGCCTAGCACCTTAGGCCATAATTAAGTGTAACTGTCCAGGGCTCTATTAACAAAAGAATTTGAGGCAATGAGAATGTGAAAAAACAATGTAGTAGAATGCTACCAGAACCGATCCAATTCAGAACAGATGAAATACTCCTCAACCTGAGCTGACTTAAATCCCAAGATGATGATACAGGAGTCACTCTCTGCTGATGTGCCTTCGTGTCACACTGAGAGAATGGCCTCCAAAGGAAATCTGCTTGATGGTTGTGGGTTAGCCATCAACTTAAGACAGGAATATTTCAGAAACCACCAAGTTCTAACTGTACCCCCATCTATTATAGCAATGAATGACACAACACTGAAAGTTGTAGTTAACTTCACTAATCTTAGAAGCACAATCTTCAGAAATAGTTGCATTGACAGAGATGGCAGAGAAATTTGACTGAGGATGGCAAAGAGCAAGTTCAGCACTTGCCCATTTACACAAGAACCTGTTGAAGAGATGAGGCATCAAATCTACAATAAAACTTGCTATGCACAAAGCTGTGGTAATACCCAATTCCTGTATGCACAGGAGACTTGAACTACCTACTGTAGAAATATTAAGCCGTTTTAAGTTTCACACAAGATGCATTCATATCATTATGAGCATCAAATGGGAGGAGAAAGTGGACAACACAGAGGGAGTTCAAAAAAACAGAGAAATCTGGAATTCCAGCACTCATCATCAGATCCCAGCTCAGATGGAGAGGACAAAACAGATGATCAAGTCCCTAAGACAGTTCACATATTCACTACTTTGAAGTGAGGCAGGTTCCTTGGCAATTCCTTGAAGGTGAATATCAGGAACTGCAGCTTGTCCACCACAAACTAGGAAAAAAAGTGAGTGATGAAGAGAGACTAGGAAGCAATCTCAAGTACAGAAATAGAAGTTGCTGGAAAAGCTCAGCAGGTCAGGCAGGAATCTGTGAACAGAAATCAGAGTTAACGTTTCAGGTCCGGTGACCCTTCCTCAGAACGTTAACTCTGATTTCTCTTCACAGATGCTGTCAGAGCTGCTGAGCTTTTCCAGCAACTTCTGTTTTTATTTCTGATTCACAACATCCAAAGTTCTTTTGGTGCTTATGTTGAACAGCAAAAAATGCAGGCAGCAAAGGATTAAAGACAAGCTAGGAAGACTGGGAAATCCTGAACAAAAAGCAGGCAATTCAACCTTGTCCACAATGTGGAAAGTCATGTAAGTCTACCATCTGACTCTCCAGCCACATTAGAACATAACAGATCATTGTGAACACACGCAAAAGTAGGTTCAGGAACAGCTTCGTTTCGGCTGTTATCAGACTGTTGAATGGACTCTGGCCTCAAATAATGTAACCTGCAATGTAACCTGTATGCCTCTAAGTCTTTTTGATCTGTACATCCTTTACTTGCTGTGATCTGCCTGTACTGCTCGTAAACAAAGCTTTTCACTGTATTTCAGTACATGTGCCAATAAATCAATCAATCAACAAACACAGAAAAAGTGATCACCTTTGATAACAGAATCCAGAATGGAGAGGTTATACCTAAATTAAACATTTGAAGAGGTTGAGGGTCTTTGCTGTGGCAAAGAGATAACTGATGGTGATCTAGTAGAGACATTTATGATTATCAAGAGGTTTGATCAATTAGATGCAGAGACGGTGTTTCCTTGCATGAGACACCTTCGGCAGGCTCAAGAGGCTGACTGGCCTATTCCTGCGTTAAATTTCAACGTTCATAGCTAGAAGTGACAAACGCAAAACTGTCACTAATATATTCAATTGGGAATTCTGGAAGAACATCTTTACCCAGAGTTGCTAACACAGGGAGTGGGTAAATCAAATAGTATGAATGAAAGGAAAGTTAATGCATCAGGATGAAAGGAATAGAAGGACCTGATGATGGCGTTAGGTGGAAAAGACTGAGGTTTGCAAGAAACATAATCACTAGCATAGAGGCATTGCTCTGCTGATTGTACAATGGTAACTAATGTAATAAGTTCATAAGGCATCATGAAGAAGGAAATACATGACAGAAATGCATCCTGAAATTCACAAAGATTGAGTCAGAATTACAAGTCAAAAGAAACAGGAGCAGGGGCAGGAGTAGGCAATTCAGCTCCTTGAAAGCTGCTCTGCCATTTGGTGATCATGGCTGATCTTATCTTGGCCTCAACTCCGCTTTCCTGCTGGATCTCCATAACCCTCCAACCCAATTCTGATTAACAATTTGTCCACCTCCTCCTTACATTTACTCAATGTACCAGCATTCAACTCTGGGTAGTGAATTCCACAGATTCACAACCTTTAGAAAGAAGTAATTTCTCATCACCATTTTAAATGTACCACCTCTTACCCCAAAGCTATGACCTTTCGTTCTAGATTGTCCTACAAGGGGAAACATCCTTTCTATGTCTACTCTGTCAACCCCATTAGCAACACTTCAATTTCATTCCTTTCATTCTTCTAAACTCCAGAGTTTAGGCCTAAACTGCTCAAATCTTTCTTCAGAAGACAAATTCATCATCTCTAAAATTAATCTAGTGAACCACCTCAGGACTGCCCCAATGCAACTACATTCCACTCAAGAAAGGGGACCAAAATTGTACGTAATACTCCAAGTATGGTTGCACAAATGCCTCATACAGTTACAGCAACACTACCTTACTTTTATACTATACTCCTTTCGTAATAATTGCCAAAATTCCAATGGCCTTCATTCTTACCTACTGTATCTGCATACTAGCTTTCTGCAATTCATGCATAAGGACACACTGATCCCTTGGTATACATTGTTTGAATGGTGCCACTTAAGGTCAAGAAGCCTGATCAAACTTAAACTGAGATTATCTCCAAGGTTTTACAGCTGTCTCTTTTAAAACCGATCTCTAAGAGTGTTGTATAACACAGTGTGGAGCTGGAGGAGCACAGCAGGCCAGGCAGCATCAGAGGAGCAGGAAAGCTGACGTTTTGGTTCAGGACCCTTCTTCAGAAATGGGGGAGGGGCAAGGGAGCTCTGAAATAAAGACAGAGAGGAGGGGTGGGGCTGGGGAAGGTAGGTGGGATGATGATAGGTGAGTGCAGGTAGGCACTCAGGTGGGGATTGGTTAGTGAGGTGGGAGCAGCTGATAGGTGGGAGAGAAGATGGACAGGTCAAGGAGGCGGGGATGACAGGGATGGTTGGTCTTGGGATGAGGCCAGGGGTGGGGAGATTTTGAAGCTTGCAAAGTCCACATTGGGTTGTAGGCTTCCAAGGCGGAATATGAGGTGTTGCTACTCAAGTGTCTGGGTGGCATCGTTGTGACACTGGAGGTGGCCCAGGATGGACATGTCGTCCAGGGAGTGGGAGGAGGAGTTGAAGTGGTTTGCGACTGGAAGATGTTGTCATTTATTGCAAACAGAGTGCAGGTGCTCTACAAAGCAGTCTCCGAGCCTCCGCTTGGTCTCACCGATGTAGCGGAGGCCATAACGGGAGCAGCGGATGCAGTAAACCACATTAGCGGACGTGCAGGTGAACCTCGGTCTGATGTGGAAGGTTTTTTTGGGTCCTTGCATGGAGGTGAGGGGGGAGGTGTAGGGGCAGGTGTAGCACTTCCTGCAGTTGCAGGGAAAGGTGCCAGGGGTGGTGGAGCTAGTGGGGAGTGTGGAGACAGCAGTCCCTACGAAAGGCAGAAAGGGATGGAGAAAGAAATATATCCTTGGTTGTGGGGTCAGATTGCAAGTGGCAGAAGCGGCGAAGAATGATACGTTGAATCCGGAG